CTTCCTCCAGAGCATGGGTGTAAATCTAGCCACAGAAGCTCTTAAAATACCACAGAGTTTTTTTTTTTTTTTAATTTTAAAGATTTTATTTATTTATTTGACAGAGAGAGACACAGTGAGAGAGGGAATACAAGCAGGGGGAGTGGGAGAAGGAGAAGCAGGCTTCCCGCTGAGCAAGGAGCCAGATGTGGGGCTCAATCCCAGGACCCTGGGATCATGACCTGAGCCAAGGCAGAGGCTTAACAACTGAGCCACCCAGGTGCCCCGCCCCATTTTAAAATAAAGACTTTATTTATTTATTTGAGAGAGAGACCGTGAGAGAGAGAGAGCACGAGAGGGAGGAGGAGGGTCAGAGGGAGAAGCAGACTCCCCACTGAGCGGGGAGCCTGACTCGGGGCTCGATCCTGGGTCTTCAGGATCATGACCTGAGCTGAAGGCAGACGTTTAACTGACTGAGCCACCCAGGCACCCCAATACCTCAGAGTCTTAAAACAGGAGGAAGAAGCAGAGATTATATTAAGACCTTCAGACAGTAACCACCAGGGGTAGCAGGTTAAGGGGATCTTCTATGTGCTCTATAGCATTGCTTCTTGAACGTGAGTGGTCATTAGAATCACTTGGAACACTTACATTCAGATTATTAGACTCCCCCCTGGAGATTCAAATTCACTCGGTCTGGTTGGGTACACGAATTTGCATTTCTCACAGTTTCTTCATCAGTGCTAACGCTGCTGGTCCGCATTTTGAGACCCAATGTTCTATGGAGCTTCTTTCATCCTTTGTATCCCTCATCATCAGGAGATCAGGATGAGACTCCATTCTGCTGGTCAGTCCATGTGATGGAGAACATTGTGGTTCTTCTGCAGTGAATAAAACCCGGGCCACATTGTAGTTCCTCACCATGACCACTGACCAGATGCATGGGAGTAGGATAGACTTGGAACTTCCGACCCATTCCTGAGGTTGCATCTTCTTTCAAATCAGAGGCTCATCTAGTTCAGTGGCTTCCAAAAGCCAGTTTGAGAACCAGTGCTAGGCTGATTGCATAAGCAAATCCAAGGAACATGTTAAAAATATAAATTCCTTGCCCCTGCCCTGGGATATTTTGAGTCAGTGAATCTGGGATAAGGCCTAGAGACCTGTGTTTTTAACGATCTCCCCTGATGATTCAATACACGTCAAAGTTGTCTATCTACAGGCCTTGAATATTTCTTTCCATGGTCACACACAGTGCATTCCAGTAATACACAGCTCTTTTGAGTATCTTTGTCCCAAATTCGAGAAGGGATTAGTAACCTTTTAGAAGGAGCATTCCACTATTTTTTCTTTAGTTTTTCATCATCAGAGATGGCAGTGCTGGTGGAATGGCCCCCCCAAAAGGCCGTGATGGACACTGGGTTCTTCAAAGAAGCACCATTCCTGGTATGTTTAGAAGTGACTGTGTGCACACAGGCAGCCCGGCCCCTGAGGCACTATAATGAGTGTGGTTGCCCCAGTTTGGGATTCTCAGAAAGAGGGGAGGGTCCTTGCATAAGCTTATGGGTGAGTTCAGTTTTTCCCTCCCCCAACATACAATCACTGGGTATCTGCTCTGGGTCAGACACAGAGGTGTGCTCTCAGGATAAAAAGAGAAGCAAAAGACAGTTCTTGGCCTCAGGACTCCACACTTTGGAATCTTAACTTCAGATGCTGAGATGTACTCTATTATCTCGTATACCTTTTGGCACGTGCATCTGTGCTCACACACACACACACACACACACACACACACACCCCTCTCCGGCACAGAAACTCATTTGGCACAGGTCCCAGGGATTGCCAACCGTCTTACACGCACACAGCCTTAAAGCAAGAGAACAACGTCCACTTGAAGAGTTACTAACTTTGGCATCCTCTGCACAATTTTATTTTAGGTTGCAGATCACACAGTTTCCTTTCAAAATCTTTCTTTATGTTGTTGTTATTCCTCCATGCTGGACTTGGTTCACAGTCCATTGGAGGAAAAAAAAATGGCATTTATTGTGTTAACGTGGAGAGGAAAACTCCTCGCCTTAAGGAGGTAGAGACACTAATATTAATTTAAAAATCTAATGTCTAATATCTACTTATTATAAAAATGGGCACATTTTTCTTTACAATTATCTGTTACACTGGATCCAAATTCAAATATTTTACAACACTTATATAAAATTAAAATTCATGTAATGGTCCTGCCTTCTCCAGTTTCGGTCAGTCATCAAAGGACGCTCAATCTAGTTATGTTTTTTTTTTTCCTTGAGCTAAATAGTTTGAAGGTGTTACCAGCCCTCTTTGCTTTTAAGCATGAGAAAATGCACTGTGGAAATGCTGTCTCTCATTTTTAAGGTCATTGATTGGGTGAAAAATGCAAATGCCTCCTCCTTCTTCTTCTTCTTTCTTTCTTTTTTTTTTTTTTTTGGTTGAACTTCCTTCAATTAAGCAATTAACCTTTTAAAATAAGTATATTCAGAAATCTATCAAAAAGAGCTAAACGAGATTTTAACAAAATCCTGACAATTTCAGCTTAAACATATACACAGAAACCATATGTGCTTCGGAAGAAATATATACACACAGGCATTGTTTACAGTGTGTGTTTTTATATTTGGAAGACATTGAAGGAAGAGCCATTCCATACATACATTATCTGCAGTGTACGTCCAGATAGCCCACATAGATTTTACATTAAGAGACAAAGATATCTTTATCCGTGGTGGGTAGACAGACAGACTGACCGACTTCAAACTTGGACTTGCCATGTGGATTTTTTTTTTTTTTCCTCATCTCCGGGTACTGCTTTTCAAAATTGCCTCGGGCTACAGAACAGCACCTCAGATCCCCAAGGCCCACTGCCTGGCTCCTAATAGCCACTCTCCATCTGTGTCACATGAACAGCTGATGAGATCGCTCCAGTATCTGTATTTTGGAGAGCACATCCACCCAGGTTAAAATGCTAGGGTTGCCAAGGAGCAGTCAGAAGCCATTAGTGTGGGTGAGAATTTGCCTTGCAGCAGTTCCTTGGCATGGTGGAAAGCGTGTATGCGTGTCCCTGCTCGAGCTTGTGTATGTGAGTGTGTGTGTCTCCTTGTGCGAGCGACCCCTAGTATACACGGATGTGTAGGGAGGGTAGGCAGATGAAGACTAGCCTCTGTAGATGCAGTATTCAAAAGTCAAATGCCTTTTGTTTCCCTGTACTCTGATTAGTTCTTTGACTATTTGGGGTCCCTTTCACTCACTCTCTTTAAATTTTTTTTATCATAACAGACGGCAAAGAAAAAGAGAACAGCAACTTCGGGGTCATGCTCTAGTGTTTGGGCAGATGGAAGGGAGCTGCTTTGCCTTGGGGCAGGGTGGTTGTAATGAAGTGGCCTGTCAGTCTGTAAATAGTGAGGGTCATCTCTTCCATGTGATGGAGGGTATCACATTGCAGTGAAAATGGAAATGTCAATAAAATTAATCTGCCAGCTCTTTGCTGTGGCTTTTCTGCTTCTCTGGTCAAAGAAGGTTGAGGGTTTTTTGGTGAGAAAGGAAGAGAACAGGTATAGGGAAGCCCACAGAGTGGACGCCGAAGTTGGAAGGTGAGGGGCCCAGTGGGCAGGCCGTCGTGGAGTAGCCCAGTCCAAGAGGAAGGAACAGGTCTGGGAATGAGCTGGTGGATCTCCGGCATTCCCCGGGAAACTGCGGAGCGTCTAGCTCAGGCTACATTGAGCACAGAGTTTATTGTTTTAGGCTTTCTTGGACAAGGTTTTTACTTAGCATGGGATTTATGGCATTTACTGCTAATGAATGTCTATTCTTAAATTACAAAAACCCCCATCTCAGCGCAATTCCCAGATGTCCTTCCAGGACCCCAGCTTCTTAAACACCAGCAGGGAGCATAAACTCTCCACTTCTCTGTTTTCCTCTTTCGTGTGGCTCCAGGCTAATGATGTGCAAGGAAAACACAGCCATCCATAAAGCCCCAGTGCTGTCCCCGTATTCTTCATTTATTTTGCATTTGATTATGCCACAAGTCGAATCTTGTTTCTTTCCTTTTTTTAAAGTTATTAGTTCAAATATTAATGTAGGGATATGGCATATATTGCTGCTCTTGATTGATGCCTTCCCAAAAACAGGAAGACGTGCTCGTATGAATTTTAAGAAAGTAGGGGTCCTGCAATGCCTTGCCGGAAGAGTTTTTCAGATACATAATTTAGATGCCCTCCAGGCAGGCTTTCAAGGCATTTTTGCTGGAGGGCAAGAAAAAATAACTATGACTGTTAAAAGTAAATGATTTTTGCTAATGCACAATTAATGCCAGAGAAAAGCACAGAAGGGGAAGACGGTGATAGAAACTTCTGATTAAGTGAGCACCCTACCTTCATGTATATCTTTTTTTTTTTTTTTTTTTTTAATGATAATGATCATGATCAGTGGTGCAGAGAGCTAAAAGTTTTCATGTCATGCAAATGCTGAGTGCGGGGTCATCTGAGGAGTGTGTGAATGTGCGTGCTTAAGAGGTGACAGTCCTAGGAGGGGCTGAGGAGGCAGTGTGTTATGTGCAAGGAAGTGACACAGTTACTGTCACCTATGCAGACAGCCTAGAGTATATAGACTACAGAACATTTAACTTGATTACCCTGCAGTATGTGTTCACCGTGGGCATGGGGACGCATTTCCACCGAATGGGTTTTCTGATGGCGGTTTTCCCACATTGGATTCCATAATTGACAAAGAGCTACTGCACTGTGTCAAGCACACAATTATAATTGAATTAATGATATGGGCAAGTGGGAGACACACAAAATTAACATTTGAAGAGACCTGGTTTAATTTTGTCTTTTACATATTTGTGTCTCCAACTCTACTTTAATGAAAGAGAATATACCCGCTTAATGCATTTCTTTCAACAAGCTTAGCTGAGCTCATCATTAGCTGCACATTGTTGTTGGAACCCTTTCTGTGTTGTGTCTAATGTATTTTCATTTTTTTTTTTCTACCAGGGGATGGTTTAGACAACAGTGTAGCTTCACCTGGCACAGGTGACGATGATGATCCAGACAAGGACAAAAAACGCCAGAAGAAAAGAGGCATTTTCCCCAAAGTAGCAACAAATATCATGAGAGCCTGGCTCTTCCAGCATCTCACAGTAAGTCAAGATGAAAGAGAAAGTTTTGTTGTTTTGCCTGCTGCTAGCATACTATACAGGTTGATAACAGATTTTTTAAAAAATAAGGTGCCTGTTTTCCCTTTCTTGAAATCTGATGACTAACGGAGCAGTTAAGGTTTTGCCAACTGTCACTACCCACAGAACACCCTCTAGGAAGGAGGACATTTTTGTTTTAATAGGCCAGGAATGGACCTTATTATTCAGAATGGTCTAGGGCCCTACACAGCATGTGTAAATAAATTTGTTATTTATGCTAAAAGGTGTGAGAGCGACTTCAGATACCGCCACCGCAACCAAGGGAAATGGCTCATGAATCCATAAACGCTGCTGATTACACTCTTAATGAAAGCCATCTCCTCCAGGAGGCAAAAAAAAAAAGAAAGAAAGAAAGAAAAAGAAAGAAAAGAGGCGCCTTGCCCCATGCGTGTCCAAGCTCATGGTATCGGGTGCAACTGTACTTGCTGGAGCTGCGTGCAAACATGGCCCATGTTTATGTGACAAACAGAGGGTTCTAGGTGCTGTAGCACCTTCGTCTATAACGTGGAGATTAAAGACTCTTTTTTAGCTGTTTAAGTCCATTTTGTTATAAGCTCACCCTTTTCAGTTCTGGGAAAAGATCAACTCTGCCACATTTTTAAAGTAATAGTGGATCTTTACCCTCCTGTTTGCATTCGGTTTTATGTGTCGGTGTATCCCGTTGACTCTGAGACTCTCATGACCAAAAAAAAAAAATTTACAGTATATTCTTACAGAGGAACCAGGCGCTCGTATTTTACTGTTGGCTTGGAAATTCCGGGCAAATGGTGAAGGTGTCAGAGGCGGCTGCTTGCTATGATATTGTTTTCAGGCCATTCTCTTTAGGCTAATGCTTAAAAATAGAGTAGCCCGCTGAAAGCTGAAGGTCCTCTTTGATTGTCCAACTTGTGTGTTGCCATGCTGAATGACATTAGTTACAGTGTCATGGGTCCAGGACAAGGTTCCACTTTTATTTATGGTGGTGGCTGCCGCTCTGCTCTCGCAGCGGAGCTCCAGAGGGCAAGGGGTGCAGTGGTGGCGGGGAGGGCCGAGCGATAAATTCACATTCCTAAATCGGCCATTTTGATGTAAGGACATTAGTAGCAAACTAAGGTGTATCGATCTGGCCTGTGGTGTCAGGATTAGCTGGGAGGACCAACGAGGCTGCCCCGGTGTAGTGGTTATTCTTGCCTTGCAGCTATGGCCATTTCAAAGGTCAGGGCCCTGCACTGACTCGGCTCAGAGGAATTAGACAGAACATGCGGTCTCTGGGCTGATTACTTAACCAAAGACAAAATAATGAGTCCTAAGCAAATACTGACTAATTGAAAGGGCTGTAAATCCATTACATATTGGTCAGGGATAATCAGGAGTATTTAATCACTTTTATCTATTCAGGAGCACTGAAGCTGCAACAGCAAAGCCCTGAACCTTGCCATGTGGCTATTATTCTCATCATTATCAAAATTACTTCACAGCTGTTCTTTGCTACATCACCTCAGCTGGAGATTTACTAACCTGTAAAATGTTTTTAATTTGGAAGTCGAGTGAGTGTGAGGGGAGGGGCTTCTCGTTTTTTTAACCGAAGGTCGGTTTGGTTAGAGTAGCAAGTTAGAAAGGCAGGGTAGGGGCGCACGGAGGGCAGGCACACAGCTTGCTCCCCGCGAGCTCACCTGTTTGGCTTCCCCCCCCCCCCCCCCCCCCCCCCCGCTGTCTTCCTTCATGCTCAGCCCTTCTCGGCCGAAGAGAGATTTCCACCGTGGCTTTCCAAGCAAACATCTCCATGTATTCGCAGTCCCTCAGTAATCAAAGTCAACATCCCAGAACAGCCGAACCTGAGAGAATTCAGCTGCTCTGTTTGCAAAGGAGGAAACTGAGACCCAGAAAGGGAAGTGATTAACTCAAGGTCAAGCTGCGACAAGGACCCAACCTTCCCTGTCCCCAGCACTGTGCCTTTTCCACCACATTATGATGACTTTGCTGAAACCCTTATCCTCTTTCCCTGTGGCCTGTAAACCTCACGCAGCCTCCACCACCAATACGCTCGGCGTCACGGTGGGAGATAGGGAGAAGCCAAGTGCCATTTTCTGTATTTGCTTTTAAAGCTTCCTGTTCCCCCAGTCTCTCTGAGTAGAGAAGACTTTCTTTGCACCTTTCTCTTCAAGCCGACTCTCTCCTTCACCGGCCGTATTCTGGGCCTTGAGTCTCCAGTGTCAGTGTCCGGAGCCCTTTCTGGACCTCCCACCTTGTCCTGTCGGTACCTTATCTCCCACCTCCCTGCCCTGGGCTGAACCCACCGTGCACTGTGGCCACTGGTGAAAAATTGTGGGTGGCCAGTGATTGCTGGGCACTCCTTGTGGCTTTGCTGTGCAGGGGGCTACAAACCAACCACAGCACTTTGTCTCCGCCCTGAGAGTGCTTTCAATCTGGTTAAAGGAACTCGAGACTTGGTGCAGAATTGTACGGCCAGCTGAAAATTTTCATGAATGCCTGTCCTTGGAGTGGGGAGAGAAGAATCAAAGAACCTCAGCCAGGCAGTCGGGAAACCGGCCTTTTGAGGTCAGCACGCCCCTGTAACCGGCTGAACCACAGTTAAGCCCATTAAGTTCTCTGGACCTTCCGTTGTCCCATTTTTCAAACGAGAGGGACACAGTGCAGGGTCTCCACACTGCAGGGTCCTTTCCTGCACCCATAGCGCTGGGTTCGCCTCAGGAGCACGTAGCCAGAGCCCCGTTCTGTCCCAGCCTCTGGTCATCCTTGCCTCCCTGTCCCCCTTTCCTTTTTAGTCTCCGCTAAGTGCTTTATTTTTCTCCTCCCCATGACCTTCTTTCACAACATGCCCCTTTCATTACTTTCTCCCACTGGCTTTGTCTCCCAGTCTTTCCCTCTGCTCCCCTCCCTTGCCCTTTCTACACCTCCCTTGTATCATGAGGAAATTCTCCTCAGCTGGCTTTCTCTTTGAAAAAAAAAATTTTTCCCTCTTCATCCAGATTTCACCCCAACTGCAGAGAAGAGGTTCAGTCACTTTGATGAGGATGGTCCTGTAAAACTTTTACTTTCCAATCTTTAATGAGCTGAAAGATTTACTCAGCTATAATTCTGAGCTCAGAAACCAAGAATAGAGACCCCTAACTAGCGACATGTTAATTTAGACTTTTCTTACGTGCACTAACAGGCATGAGGAAGTCCTTGGAAATAGAGATGCCCACTATATTTTTCTGTCACTTAATTAATTTCAACTTTCAAAGTGAAATGTTGGCTCTAGCTCACTGAAAATAGATGTAGTCTAAATTATTATTTCATGTAAATTTCTTCACAAATGCATGATTCAGTGTGCATTCCTCCATTCTTAGTCTCTTTAACATTATTTCAAACTGGTTTGTTCCCTTTTGTGCAGTATGACCTGTTCTTGTATTACAATAATCCCCGATGTACCCTTTTTTCTTTCTTTTTTTTAAAAAGAAGCTAATTGAATTATCTCATTATTTTAATTTGTTAAGCAAATGTATTTTGCATCTCAGGATGTGTTCTTAAAGAAGGGGGCTGCTGAGGCTTTGCCCCCTGAATGGGCCATTGGCCCATTTTGACATTCATGCATTCATTAACTAGCAGAACATAAAAGAACTCTGGTTGTATTTTTTTTTCCAAACACCCAACCAGCATGGAGCAACTTTTTCCAATAAGCCACAGGGGTCTCTCTACATATGTTCTCAACTGCAAGCTATTGTCACCTATTCTGAATACCTCAAAAGGCTCAGAGAAAAAAGAAGCCCACCTCAACAAAGGCCAACTGTAGCAATTGTTAAGCCTTAGTCTCAATATGACAAAAATCATTAACCTTCAGTTTTCTTGGAAGAACGAGTCCCACTACAACTGTAACAGTTAAAACAGTCTCAAATTCCTGTGCACCACCAACTTTAGGGGAAAAGGTAATTCGCTTGCAGCTGATTGATTATATTGAAGGAGATAGTTAAACTAAATCCAAAGTGGCATTTAAACAAACCAAACTATTGGATGAATTGAGGAATATCCGTATTCAGAGTTAAGCACTTTGAATTTAAATTTAATCTGAGGCTAGATAATTCATTTCTGGTTTCTGACTACCAATTTCCAAAGTGTCTTTTAAAAATCCCCTTTAAAAAGCTCATAATAACTTAAAAAAAATAAACCCATATATGTATATGTGTGTATATATATATGTATGTATGTTTTTAAATTATGTATATATTTAGAAATTCACCTCCTGGAAATGTTCTATATACGATTACCCCCTCCTCTACTGGTTGATGGCTCTGCCTGGCTTCTCAGACTAAGAAATCTAGTGAAGATTGAAGAAAGAATCTGTTGGAAATGTATGTGCTTTTGCTGGAAAGTACCCAATGGCAAAAGAACTTAGGGAAATCCTAGGGAAGTATATTCCTTTCACTAACACATGAAGATTATGGTATCATAAAAGTAAGCCTGCCATTACAACTGTTTTCATTTGACTTCAAAGATAGTTAAAGAAAGAAACAGCAAGAAATAATACTGGGGCTAACGGTTTATTCATAACCGTGAAACACTCTTCCACGCCAAGAAGCCCTTAATGTGCTCAGTTAGGCTCTCAGGCACCTCCACTGGCCACCTTCGAGAGCTTTCTAGTTGTGCTGCAAAGAATATATTTGATCACGGAATGAAAACTGGAAGTGCTCACACACAAAGACACCCCTTGCTCATACCAGTCTCTAAAGTTTTTCTCATTTGAAAACACGAGGCGAAAGCTCACACTTAGGGGATGTGGGACTTCTTTCAAAGATATGTGTGCAGAATCAGAAGCAAATTAAAGTGAGGTCATATCGTGCAGCCTTCTTGAAACTGCAGGTTCTAAAAACTGTGCCCTTTGTTCCAGGCAAAACGCTTTGTCCCCCTCTAGACCTCTGATGGTGAGGGAGAGTGATGAAGCCTGCCATTCACGCGTTTCGTCGTTTAGCTCCTTGTCTATTAGAGATTGTTTTATGGGATTTTGTAAGGGTCTCTGGTAAGAAACGTGAGTTTTAAAGTTTATCATCCTGCAGAGACCATATACCCAAGTTATGAGTAAATACAGCTCCGTGTTACCGTAGAAGAACACATATCTCTTCTCCAGGGAGTTCATCAAGACCATATGACAGTCAACTTAGTCATCTCTCACATTTTTTACTGTACCCACACAGAGGCACACACATACACATGAGAGACAGAGAAAGACAGAGAGACAGAGAGATACTGACTTAGACTATTTTGCCTTTTAACTAGTTCTCTTCATCTTATGTAGACCTAGATGGCTTCTTTTCTTAAATGAGGTGATCCAGTGTCGAAGTGAAGAGCCCAGGGCTTGGCTTTCTGACTGGGGGAGGTTAGATGAGTCCTACTTGAAAAGAAGCACTAAGTGTCCTTTCGTGGGGCTTTCCAGGCATAAGATTCTATCGTGTCGTGACTATCAGTTATTCATTATCAGGGGCAAAGCAAAACAAAACACAGGGCCTGGAATCTGCCACATAGTAGATTTTTGATCTTGAGCAGCTACCTTCTCTAAGCCTCATCTTCCATATCTGTAGAATGGGGATAATTCTAGAACCAACTTAGGAGGGTTATTGCAGGGATTGCATGAGATCATATAGATAATGTAAAGCATTCAGTCCTATGCCTGGCTCTTACAGTAAGGACATAGTATAATTCTTACTGTAATCTAGCTGATTGGCCAGCAGGAGCCTTTGACCAGTGGAACTGAGCAGCTGAAGTAACCACTTGCTCGCGCGGTCTGTGTGAGATGGGGAGATCAGGTTTTCCCAAACAGGTCCCGGATGTCCCTCAGCAGGAGAGAACATCATCTAAATCATGCCTTCTAGAGCCGTATAAACATTTGATGGCTGCTCAGTTATGCTAAATGATAGCATCCAAGGGTCCTGGTGCTAATGGAAAGCCAGAGTACGCTGGTGAGCCTTTGGGAGAGGGAGAGGGTGGAAGGTGAAGAAGAAACCTGTTATGGAACAGTTCAGAATGCCTCAGCTGGGGCCTCCTTTTGATACAGAATGCTCCCTTTCGCTGTAAGAGGTCCAGTATGTGAACAGAATCTAGAGTCTCCAGCTTCCTCAGAGTGTTAAAGTCGAGGCTGCCTGACAGATAGCATGTTTTGTTGTTGGTGGTGGTGGTGGTTTTTTTTTTTTAAGGAGTCACTGAATGTGAAATTAGAAGACTGGGTTTGAGCTCTGTAATCTTGGGTAAGCTAGTCAACCTCTGAACCTATTTCCTTATCGAAAAATTAAAATAGTGAATATGTGCCCTACTTAGCTGGTTGGTTGCTACATCGGATGATGTAGCGAATGTGTGACTGTGATGTGCCACACAAATGTTGAGTATTTTGGTTTTTTGGTTGCGTACTTGGGTTTCCAGCTGCCCGAGCTCTAGTAGTACCTCATGAGATCAGCAGGGGTGAGAGATGCCACGCTGCCAGCCTCGTTCATCTGTACCCCAGGTTCTCTACTCGTTCAGTCCACATGGGTGTCTGTCCTTGGAGATTCTGATCATTCCTATCATGAGATCTCTCTCGAAGGGCCTTGAATGGTAAACTGAATCAGTATTCCATGGACGTTAGTTATTTCTACTTGAAAATTAGTGCCTTTATGATGCTGAGATTGATCTACTTAATACCAATCGCTATAGGCCAAATGAATACCAAATATAAAATGTTGGACTTACTTAGGCCATGAGAGATGGCCTCTCTCTCACATTCAGAGAGCTAGATGAGCCCTGAAGACAAGTAGGGCTGCTGGGCAGAGAAATCCTTATGTGGAAATGCATATGCAGAACACACAGCTGAAAAACAACAGCAGAGAGGACTTCCCACAAACATGCAGCGCACTGAGGCTGCCCCTAGCTGTAGCCCTTGCATTGTTTTTCTGCTTGCCAGGAGAAAACATCTGTGAATTATTTGAATGGAACCTTATACTGGAGATCGTCTGAATTGGTGTCATCTCTGTTTAATTTCGGGAAATGATGTCACAATGCATTAAATAACAATGCTGGGTGATTTATTTTCCCATGGACATGCTGTCCTAAGCATTCCTCTTCTCTCACAATGTTTCCAATTAACTGTAAGCTTGAGTGTTCTTCCTATTTCAGAATGATTTTGAGGGGTGGGGGTGGGAGATGGGGGTGGAAAGAGTGGTAATTTCAGAGGTTTCCCAGGTTCAGAGCTAATGGCACATCCGTCATGTCCTTATTGGGACAGGGAGGGTGCTGAATGTCGGGGCTGTGATCACCAGTGCCGACCTACAACAGTGTTGGTTGGTTTTAAAGAATGTCTAAAAAAGACAGCCGGAATGTTCTGATCCTAGCTGTCCAAAGAGCCACCAGTTAGTTTGAATAGCGACCTGCATACTGTAGCTTCTGTCTTGATCAAAGTTTCTATGCACTCCCTTACTCAGTAAAGAATAGAGGACATAAGTCAATTCCGTGTGCCATCTGTCGTCGTTTTTACAATTTCTCAAATTAAAGAGACAGGCCAAAAATCTAATGTTGTGTTGAATCCTAGAAGCTCTTCTAGAAGAAATAAAATTGCAGCTAAATTTACTTTGACTCCCTTGAGGGAAGGAAAAAGTTGCATGTCGCTGTGTCATAACCTTTTCCTTGGAGTCCCAATTTGGTGTTTGGGATCAGAGTGTGAGGGGCTCTGCACATAAAAGCTGATGTGTTTGGGACTCTGCGGCTCTCGTCCACGTTCCGAATGGCTTCGAGGTCAAGTCCCCAGGGCAGTGGTCGTGGCAGTGGCCTTCCATGTGGGTGCCAAGGTGTGCGGTCTCCTCAGTACAAAAACATTTGGTCAAAATATTTCCAAAGTATATCAAACAATCCCATTTAAAAAGAAGTTCAGCTGAGATAGATTAAGAAAATTAAGTCCCAGATTATGAGCGACTAGCTGACAGACACATTTTTAAAATGAGCAACTGGGTGAGAAGATTGAAGAATGAAATGCTTATTAAATTACCATCAAAAAGACACTAAAATAATTATTAGCTCAAAGTGTAACACCCAGTTTCATAAAATATCACTCTAAGTATAATTGTTTAAAAATACGTTATAGAATTCAAAGAGATGGAGAATGGAGGACCCTTGAATAAAAGAAAATAGAAGGCATGTGCATATCTGAATATTCAGCTATTTAAAGCCTCCAAGAATAGAGTGCCATTAAATGCTGTTTAGCGAGAACCGTGAATATTCATTCAGATCATAGAGAACATTTCCATTTCTTCACTCCACACGACCACAGTTTGTGAGTGTATTCCATGGAGAGGTGGTGTTATTGGGACATAAAGGCCAAGGGGACTGAGTCGTGGGAACACTCACTGTCCCTCAGCTTTGCTGCAGCGGGACAGGGTCATTAAAGTCATCTTCATGGGGCGCCTGGGTGGCTCAGTTGGTTAAGCGACTGCCTTCGGCTCAGGTCATGATCCTGGAGTCCCAGGATCGAGTCCCGCATCGGGCTCCCTGCTCAGTGGGGAGTCTGCTTCTCCCTCTGACCCTCCTCCCTCTCATGCTCTCTGTCTCTCATTGTCTCTCTCGCAAATAAAGTCTTAAAAAAAAAAAATTTTTTTTTTAAAGTCATCTTCATGCTCAGGGTTAATTTTGATGTTAGAGACCATTGCTGCACAGATTTCAGACGACTCCTGAAAACGCCCTGCCTTCTCTGTGCTAGAGTCTGTCTTTGCAGTTTGGAACAGATTATGAAGCGTAAAGGTGATATCCTGCCCCACTGCTCCTGTTAAGAAGTAGTGACTTGGGGAGGAAGCAGGAGGTTGGTTGAATGGAATTTGCCTTTAGCACATTAACTAGCGGGGTACCACTTTCCAAACTGATTGGCAGCCGTTGTTTACAGTATGCAAAGTAATCATGGGCACCCTTTAAAGGTGTATTATCCTCTTAAAACATAATAGTAATGCCATTTTCATGCTTTTACATTTGCTATTCATATTTTGAACTGCCAAGTCCCAAATCTGCCAGAACTGATTTAAGTTGTTTTTATCTAATAGTGGATAAGTTGTCAAGTCACAATATAATGGCAGATAATTTTTCTTAAACTATAGTTTTACTTCTTGGTTGTAATAGATAACATGAGTATTTGTTGACTCTGACTTGATTGTCCACAAAA